CAGCCAACACCCGCTGTGATCTGAGTGGTGTGATTCGAGTGGTTTCCAGTGAAGACTGAGGCAAAAAAGTTGTTGAGTATTTCAGCCTTCTCCACATCCCCAGTAACCAGGTCACCTATATCCTTCCGGAGAGGCCCCACATTCTCCCTCATTTCTCTTTTTTCTCTTATGTAAGTGTAAAATCCTTCTATTTTTCTTTTAACTCAGTTTAGTTTTGAGATTTTTTTTGTTGTTAGATCATTTTTCTGAATGGTAACATGTCTGTTACCAGCGTGGGTTTGATATACGTGGCCTTCCTGTAGCTGGTTACATGGGGAGGGGAAGGGAGTGGAGAGAAAGGTCTCTCTTAAAGTGACATTGGTGGAAGGAGCTGGAAAAGGGAGGATTTCTTTTGAATTCTAAATCTTGCTCCCATGATAGTGAATTTTCCAGGTACCCTGGTGGAGCTAGGTTTACTTATGGTCTAATTCTGGAGCAGAGGACAATTCCTTAAAATAGAAACAGCACTGTTTGTTTCTTTAATTTCCACAAGCCCTTAGTAAAATCAGTTTTTTATTTCTGTAGGGGCAGTGAGGTTCATAGTATAATAAAGTGCACTAAGTGCCTTTTTTTTTTAAGTGATACGGTAAATCTATATCTGGATCTGTTTTAGGAAGCAGTTTTTGTTGGATGTGTTTGTTTGTTTTTTTTGTTTTAAGTATTGGTTTTATTCAAGTAGAATTGCCCTCCCGCATTCGTAATATATCGTAATATGTGACACTGATAAATCTTCACTGCTTCTCACTTGAGGCTACTTTAAGAAATGACTCATGACTTTTCAGTGTGTGTAAATCCTTTATCTATCCATTTCAATGTATTTTTTTTATTTTAGATCTTAATCATTGTCCTGGTCTTGTGCAGTAGAGTCCCCTTGGAATGGCAGCCCTTCCTTAAGCTTATGACAAGATCAAGGAGCTACTACAACTTCTTGTACTGGGTGTTTTAACTCAAGCAGACTCTTTAACTAGGACAGTTTTTATCCGTGGGCCCCTATCAAAAGCATTACCTTTGTTTCAGCTGTGACTTTCTTGCACAAGGTCTTCAGTGCCTTAACCTTGGTGATGTTAAGGACCTTTTGTTTGTGATCCTGCAGTCTGCCTTTCGCCCTCAGCTCTGTAAACTTTTCAGGTTATTTTGAGTGTATTTTCCAGAGCCTCTGTGGCAGTGTTTTTCCATTACTGTTGTCATCATGTTTTTCTCATGGTCTTGCACCTACAAACTCTGATACTACTGTCGCTTTGCATTCCTGTGGGACTTAAGATACACGTGCTGTACCTGTTGCATTTGTCTGTGATAAACTTTCTGTGCCTCGGACACCAGGTTAACCATTCCTTCCTTCAGCGTCGAAAGAATCCTTTTGTCGTTTTTGTCCATTGGAACAGCTTTTAGTGCGTTAGAAATGACACCTGTCTTACAGCAGTCAAGTTTCTGTCTGTTTTATAAATGGACAGCAGTGGTGTCTGCCTGCCCCATCAGCCTGCTCCTGCCACTTGCCCCGTACCTGTACTAGCACGTCAGCTCTTTGCCCTGGTAGCAAGTAGGACTAGAATACTGAACTGCCTCAAAACTAGCCTGGCAACCAGAAACCCAAATCTTCAGCAGTTTTGGTTTGTGGGACTTTGTCGTCATGCTGCTGTATAATCGTGGATTTTAAAGTGAGGACATAGATATGGAGGTTTAGTGACAGTCCACAATTGGACTGAAGGTAACCTGAAGCCTCTGTGTGCCCCATGAAATTCATTTATAAAAAGTAATCATGTGGTTTGTTAGATAGAGACTGAGAGTATTTACTAGTCTTAGCTTATATGTATCCTAAGACATTCTGTTTAGTGCAGATGCCTCTAAATTAAGCCCAATGTCTTGAGAACTGGGTTCAGGAGGAGTGGCTGTTTCCACAACACGTGATGGCCCTGCAGTAGCAGGGAGCTGAAGAGAGAAGACAGGCCCACATGGTCCACGCTGTCACCTAAGAAGTGCAAAAAATAAATTCTGAAATTCTTTGCCAGTATGACCGAGGGGGAAATATCTTTCTCATCTGTGATCTCATGGTCAGTCTGTTCTGAGTGTGGCAGCAAAATGCAGTAGGTAAGAGAGCTTTAAAAAAGGTGGATTATTTGTATGATTTTGAAGTGTCTTTCTGCTCTTAGAGATGCCTGCTTCTAATACCTCTCACAGGGAGATCCAGCTACCCTCTCAAAACCAAAACCACCTTTCTCTTTTTTTCTGGACATCTGTGCAGTGGAGGGGAGAAAGATCCCTATAAGTCCCACTTAAGTCTTGAACTGTGATGTTTAATTGTAGGGACTGCCTTAATTCCCAGCTGCAGTGTGAGGTGGGCTGGCCAGGCTAGGCAAGGACTGTGGAGAGCAAGCTTGAGGAGGTGACAGTCCAGTCTGCTGGCTTAGAGCAACAGACTTTGTACCTATCTAAATCATCTTGGTGCAAATGAAAGCAGGTGTGTGTTTTCCAGGCAGGAGTTTGAATCACGGTCATGGGTAATTTTAAAAAGACAGATAAGTTAGGGCCTTTGCAAACGTAAAACTAGCAATTTACTGGATTGCCATTGATTAATAATACACATTGCCAATAATAAGGTCTCACTCATTATCGATCATTTCTCATATTCAGGGCAAGTAACTCTTTAGAAATCTTATACTTACTAGCTGTAGGGATGTAATACCACAAAACTACTGTCATAGATTTAATATAGTTTATATATAAATACATATGTAAACATATACTTATAAACAGATATTCATGCTGTACATTCCAATATCTAATACATAATTTTCTAAATATGTATTCTGTACGCATTTATATACATGCTTGGCTGTGTTACTGAATGCTCCATTCATTCATCTGAGCACTATGTTTTCATTTCCATTTCAAAGCTACTTTGGAAAGAGTAGTTTTTCAGTTGTCGTTCTAGTGGGAACTCTTGAACCTTTTTCCAGTCTATTTACACCGCGGTAAGGTACTCTCAGTGTTTATACACAGAGATAAATATTGAAGGTGGAAGTTGGTTATCTACTACAGATTCTTTTCTTGATACAAATTGTGTGTATGTGCATTCGGTAATCCACTCTGCCTCTCAACTCCATCTCTGCCTCTCAACTCCTCTCAAGGACGTGAAGGCGTTGGGTGCCCTGCCTACAGCATTCTAGCAGAAGTGCCAGAGATGCGACCTCTGCAGAGTTGGCAGAGCTCCAGCTAGTCTTCATTTGCAGTACTTGAGTATAAGAATGGTGAAAAATAAGTAATCTCTTTTTTCATTTTTATGAAGATGCTTCTTGGGTTTTTCTCCCTTTTGTGAAATAAGTGAAAGAGGTTTAATTTTATGTAAGCATATGAGGTGACTGTTCAGTTCAAAATTGCCCTGCTTGCAATTATTTTGGTAGCCTGCTGGCTGAGATCTTTAACAGAAGGAAAAGATTTAACATTCTGAAATGGTATTTTTATGTTTCTTTTAAAAAGAAGTTCAAAAAGCAGTAAATAAATGGGTGCTTGCTCTCTCTAATTACTCCATTTAGCGGGTAATGAAAAACATACCTTGTCTTTTTTCCATACTATTTAAGAAATCTATTCTTCCCACTGACCTTTTCAAAAGGTAGGGATAATTCAAGCAATGATCTGAAGAGGGAAGAAAGGAGTTTAAATATCGTATTTTTCAAATCACATGGCATCTGCTTGTCTCATACTTGTGGAGACCTATTCTGTAGAGAAAAATGAACCTTGCCACTACAACTGAAGTAACCAAAGGTTGTTATTTCTGGGAACTGACACGTGAAGTAACTGTTCTGCACTCTAGAGAGAAACAGCTGAGTTTGAAGACAGAGAAGTTGTAATTTAAGAATGAATTTGAGTGTTTCCAAGGATTATGTGGGTTTCTCTATGTAAAGTTAATTAGGAGCTAAGGCATTATTGTGGCATTTTTCCTAATATTTGCCAGGTTTTCTAATGTGCTGTTGACTTCAGCTGAAATTTGCCTGCATAAATTTTTTTTATATACTTCAAAATTTGCCTGAAATTATACTTAAGGTATTTTGCTTTCATTTGGTATGAATTTATAAATTAAACATCGTGTGCTGTTTAAAACCAACACATCACCTGAAAAAAGCTTCTGTTCCACAAACATATTGAATAATACAGAAGTTGAGCTTTATCCCTTATTTTCTATTTCTTCCGTGTCTTCAGTCTTTAAGTGATAGGAAATGAGCTGTCGCACATGCATTTGGTCTGTACTTGTTTGAGGTCCTTCTGTGTGTGATGGGTTGCCCAGGTGCATTCTCTCTTCACTCTCTATTCTGGGGGGTTTCCTTTGCTTTCGAGTTGATGTGCTGCGTTAAGGGAGATAAAGTGGTACCAGGTCACCATGGGAAATATGGCTCTGGAGCACCAGAAGAAAAATCCCAGGACATTCTGGGGTAAAGCACAGGTTAATATCAAACTGACTCAAAATTTACAATTTGAGTGAATCAAACAAGGTAAACCTCCTTGGTAAGTCCAGGTTGCAACAGTGGGACTTCTTAATTTGGAGAATATGCGTGAGTCTTTTGGTAGTTTTGTCTCCATTCAGACTGAAAGAGGATTTGGAAATAATAAGAGTTTGTTGAGTAGAATTTCTGTCTTTGAGGCAAGTTATTCATCCTGATTCTTTGAGTAAATTCACTGTTGAAATTACTGCAAATTTTTACAACGGCTTCCCTGACCCACCTTTTTAATCTTTCTTCTTTGTTGTCACATATCATCCACAGCTTATGTGCACAAAATGTGCATTTTTACCACTGTGATATCAACTACAAATGTGTTCCCACTTAAAACTAATCATGTTATTGCTATAATGATTTTTAAAATAAATTCTAATTAATGTGAGGTAATTTGCCAGAAAGAAAACCACCTAAAAAATCATGTTTTATCATTTTTATACTTGCTGAATTCCTTGTGTTTTCTTTTTAAAATAGTGATTCCAGAGTTCATTAGTCAAGTACACATTGCATTGGAAAGCTTAAGCAAGAACACAGTGCATCTATTTGATGATAACCAGTTTGTGGACATTTCTAAGAAGGTGTATGATACAATTCATAACATCAGATGCTCAGTCATGATGATTCGGGTAAGTTTTTTATTTGTTCATTTACTATTTATTTCCAAGATAGGGCAGGACATCCGGGCTTTTCCAGGAGAATGTAGAACTATGTGAACAGTGCCCCTAAGCTTATATCCACATTGAACTGATCTGGGAATGTTGGATTCCAATGAACACACATGGTCATAACTTAAGAAAGCTAGAATTGCATTGAGTGTCAGATCAGAATGATGCATAAAAATGCATCTCTCTCTTTAAAAATATTTTTTTATGTTTGGTTGCTAAAGATCTTTGTTCACTTGGTTCATGATCAGCTTGTGGCTACAAACCCAAATCTGCCTGTAGCTCTTTCACCTTAACCTTATTTAGTGGGATGTAGGAACAGAGGATATATTCAGGTGATCCTGTTAATCTCTTGAAGCTCTGTCAGCTTCGCACCAGAAGACTTATGATGTCTGTCGGGCATCTGATTTCTTTCTTGGACATCGGCTCTTACTATGGCAGCCAAGGTGAGAAAACAAAAGCATGCTGTGCCCAGCTTCTAGGGACTTCCTGCTCTGGTGCCAAAGGACCAGGGGTTGCTGATTACAGAGGACTGCAGGATGAAATCAGGGAACGCAGTTGTTGACAAAATGTAACTGAGAAGTGTCAATGAACAAGGACATTGATTCACAGGGGGCAGTTTTTTAACATCAAAGTAAAAGCAGAAACTCTCCAGATCACTTCCTCAGGAAGCATTTTGATTGTCTAAATTACACAGAGGGAATGTTTTTAAAAATAGAGCTCCTACCTGTAAAATGTTGCCAAATACTGTTGTTAATGCAGATTATCAGGTGTGCTTTTCAACAAGCTTCTCCATAGATACATAAAACATTGATTTCAGCCTGGCAGGTATAACACGAATACTTGAGAGCAGCTAAATAGTGGAAAGTGTGCTGCACTGAAGAGCTGTAGCAGAAATACCTCTGGAACTGCAGGATGCTTACCTTAAGGTGCTTTGCGTTGTTTCCCTTACAAGGATTGATTCATCCAGTGATAACTGTTGTTTTGAGATCGTCAGGTATTTGATCCAGGTCATATAGCTGCACCTGCTTATTAATGTCCACATTGCTCAGTCATTTTTTGACTCCTCAAACATCTGATTTGCGTTAAATTGTAGAGGCTTTGGGAGCTTGATGTTGTACAGGAACATTTGGGCATGTTCTGGATATTGTTTTAATCAGAGTATTACTGGTATAGAAATAGATTAGGGTAGATAATAGCATTGAAGACAGGAATTCTGCTGTGTGGAATACATGGAAAAGTCAAAGGAAACGGACTGACAGTTTTTGAGACAATATGTGTTAAATATTGCCTAATGTTAAGACTGATACTAGAACTTTTTTTTTTTAAAAAAGGAGCTTCTGTATGAAAGTGTAGTTTGTTGAAGAATGAGACAGCTGGATTATATGACAGCTGATAATATCCCATTAGGATATTAAACACAGTGGAAAGTGGTAATGTCTTCAAATGAATAATAACTACAGATAGCTGAAACTAATAAAATCATCCTAACAGAAGTACACCAAGAACAGTGGAAAAGAATTCACTATGTCAGAGTTTCATGGAATTCATTGTTTTTATTGGAGGATAAACAGGTGAACAGCTGTGAGTTTCCCAGAGAGGAAGAAAAGGGCAACATGTTCATATACTCTATTCAAAATGCTTTTACTACCCTGTGTTCATGGAAGCAGAGAATAAGGAGCCTGTCTTCCCTCATTTTATGAGAGGTGGAAAATGAGGATTGAGATTGTGGTTCTTACCTGATACAATGCATCGTTTTGATGCATCTCTTAAAAATCCTTTCTGCTGAATGCGCATTCAGTGTGCTGCTTGTCTCAGTTCTGGCATGGAGAGTACATGTTCCCTCTCAGTTTATGGTGTTAAGCTTTTTGAGTGTTTCTTTTGCAGACTATGCCCTTGCTACCATTGAGCAGCCATTCCCTGCATTCTCTGACCATCCCCATCTCTGGCCCCCCTGAAAACTCCAGCAAAGCATGTATTTTGGTTTTCTATCATACCTGATACTTCTGTTTCATCTAGATCCTCACTACAACCCCATTCCATTTCTAATCTTCCTGTTTCTTTAGCTGATAGTCTTTTACTGTGGGTTTTAATTTCCTTTGCAAAATGAAGCTCAGTTTAGCTACACACTCGGGTCTCTACAGCATGACCCTTGTTAAAATGCTTTGGCTATCTCAGAGTACCTTTGGGAAGGGTTCCGTTGTGCTCCTTTGATTGTGAATTCTGGGTAGTTTTTCATTCTGTTTTAAAGAAGTATGAGAGTTCATCCATAACAGAGCTTAGGAGCTCTTCAAAACACTTGATTTCTCTCAATAAGAGACATCACAGCAGACTTCAATCTCCTGTATCCAGCAGAGTTGCAGAGATTTTTAGAACATGGACTTCATGGAAAGGAAAATAGCAAGTGGTGACAACCTTCCTATCATCCTGTTTCTCAGGCAGATAATGAGCATCTAGTTTAACTTCTACCTTTGCTTTTATTAATGACAGAATTATCCTACACGTGCAGGATTTTCTACCTATTTTTTCTTCTGTAGTAGGAATTGGATTAGATTCAGTCAGGTGCAGGCAGTAGCAAACATGAATTTGAACTTCTCTTTAAAAGCTAGAGAAAACAAAGCAAAGTAGGGAAGCATTTGAGAAAAAAAGGCATTTACTGTAGCCTTACAATTGTTTTTCCAAGAGAGTCCTGAGACCTGCTGAGGACAAAAGAGAAAGAACAATTTATACAGTCTTGGTAAACTGCGTAAGAGGGAGAACTTTGGTGGTTGTAGTTGGCAAAGCAGTTTGACCTGCACCTCTCATCCCTTTCCTGCCGTTTCTGAAGTAAATAGGTCAGAGCTGACCTTTTCTTCCCTTAACCTCCTCGTCAACTTCCCTGTCAGAAAGCGGGAGCTTTCCTGGGTGTTTTCGTTTGTGCTCCCTTATGTACTAGGCTTCCGATATAAACATAGTTAGCACTTGTTATGTTGTCGTCTCTTTTTAGCCAGGAAAGAATTTTCTTTCCTTGTTATTTGAGAGAAAATTTGCTCTGAACTGGTTGTTACGAAGCAGATGTTTCCATGCCCTGCCTTCATTGAATGGTGCTTTCTGTGTTTGTTCTATCAGTCCTGTCAGCCAGGAATGGATATGCCGTGTGACTAAAAAAGGATGTAATACCTGATGTCCTTTAAAAAAGAGACTAGAAGAGGCACATGTTTTCTGTTAACATTACTTGGACACCTTCTCCTTTTTCACGTTTTATCTTGTGATTTCATATTGTAGAATTTCCTACTTGTTCATATTTACTTCTGTATTAACATCATAAAATAAATTCAGTCGTTATTAGTATGACTCTGCTTTGCAGATGTCCCATCAAAATGCTCTGTACTGCAACAGTTTTGGGACCTGGTCTGCATACCTTTCAATTTAACGTGCTGGCATTTTTTTAAATGCTCATCTAATATATGTTGGAGGAGTAGACTCGTTCTCTAATGGGATGTATAAGCATATGAGAACCCACTTGATGTTGTCAGGCTACATCTTGGGTACGGGTCTGATGGTGAAGATTTGCCCCCCTCCCCGACTTCCAAAGCAGCAGCAGCTCACATGGACCAGTCAGGCGACTGGATATGACTCTCTGGAAGTTAAGTACATAAAAGCAGTGCCAGGAACTCCCAGCTTGGATAGTAACCACATTCACGCCTGTCGTTACTGTATGTTAACATATACTATTTTTTTCATCATTTTTTATTTTCATTGTCTTTTAATACTATTCAGTATTATTCTTTTTGTCCAAAGTATTATGGTTAACTGAGCCTCCTTTCTAAACCAAAAAAACTGCAGTGTCTTTTGAAAACCCTGCTTATTGTCACACGTTTCACTTGTTTCAGTCTCTTGTGGGTGAGGGGAAAGTGGGAAAAGAAACATGCATAGAAGATAGTAGAAGGAAGGGACCTTAGGAAGTCACCTGGTCCAACCTCCTGTTTAAAGCAGAGAGTTATCCAGGGTTCTGTCAAGCCAAGTCTGAATTTACTGTCTGTTTTTTATATATATTAGTGTTAATACAGTAATGGAGAATTGATGGGGCAAACAGAGCAATAGTGTGTGCTAAACGTTATGTATAAAAGCAAGCTACTTGCAGCATTGCATGCAGCTACCAGACTACAGTACTTTCACTGTTGTTTGCTGTGTTTATGCCTTCACGTTTACATGCAGCACATGACTGTATGATCCATCTTCTTTTATTTTTATTCTTTTTCCAGTTAAAAATGTAATTTTCTTCAGTCTGCCTTAAGTTTCCAGTTTGTGAAGTGTCAGCTAATGTGTTGTGTTGGTTTTTAAAAAAAGAAAAATAAAAGGATTTATAGGTGTGTATTTAGACAAAAAGAGTGAATGATTTCAGCCAAGTCCTGCAGTGCTCTGGTACAGGTTGAGGCAGAGAAGCCGCTATGCTTTGTGCAGAAGTGGAGGGCATGAACAGTTTTGACTGTTTATATTTCAGTTCTTCCAGGTTTAGGAATTAAAGTATATTGTGACTATGTCACATATGTCAATGTTTTTAGTTCACAAAATTATCCCTCTCTTTCAAGAAAACGAAACTTTGCAGAAGTTAGGTGGCTCTAGTTCAGTCACTCATTGGAAGCTTAGGCAAATGCAGTTTTTCAGCAAGTTGGGCAGAATTATTTCTGAGAATATAAGCCTGCCGTTTTCCTCGACATGGTCCAGCATGAAACAGTGCATGAGAAGTGATCGTATGTGCCAATCTGATTAGCCCTTAAAGTATCCCGAAATTTGTTACAGTCTTACAGTCATGTACAGAAATAGTAATACCTTGCATGTTAGGGTACAGCGAAGCATATCCGTGTGAAGTACTGAGAGTGAATGAGGCTGGATGTGGCACTTAGTGCCATGGTCCAGTAGTGCCATGGTTTAGCCGATGGTGTGTTGGGTCATAGGCTGGACTTGATCTCAGCCTCGGTCTTTTGCAGCCTCGATAATTCTGTGATTCTGTGAAGAGCTGCAAGTCACTGTATTGGGTGGGGCAGGGGCAGCTGGAGGATGCACACAGGTGCAGTTATCTGTCACCGAGATGGCTTTGTCAACAGATGACTGTCTGAGTTAGCCCCCTCATTGGTTTGGTTTAAACCTTGGTTTCTCTTAGTACCTGTAAAAATTATAGCAAAATCATGTAATAATTCTTGTTCAGAAGCAACACCTGAAATAGGGTGTTTTGAGGGGTGGGGTAGGGATGTTAAATTCCACTTTGCTTGGGGACACTCCTTAGTATAAAAGCTATCAGCCTATTGAAGCAGGCTCATGCTATTGATCTGTGACATGAAGGCTGGTTTGCACAGGGATGTACTCAATGCCTTATTTAGTTCCACCTGATCACTCAGGTGAGCAGTTACTGGTGTTTGAATGAGAAATTGCGGGTGGGTGCATGTTCTGATCATTAAAAGCATAAATGAAAGTAATGGATAGAGAATTCAGAGCTAGGGTGGTTTTATTTTTACTGTCTTAGTGTCTGGGAAGAACACCTGCTAAAACTGAGTGTGGGAAGGATGATGGCAGTGGTGGTACCTGTGCATTCAGAAGAGCACTGTGCATTAGGTTGTGTATCTTTAAAATTATGCACAAGTTTTTGATTGCCAGGCTTATTGTGTGTACATTTTTTTAAGATGATACATTTTACTTGCAGGTCAGATAGTGGAGACAGTAGAGATGCTCGGTTGAGACTGAAGAGACTTGGGTAGAGCTTGAGGTTGTAGATAATAATTTCATTGGATGAACCTACATTGCCTACGGAATTCTGAATTGTCTGCTTTGTCTCTTGTTTCTTGTCCTTCCTGGGCACTGAAATGTCTTTTTAAGACAGTCATACTTGGAGGTATTTTTAACATTAACATACTGATGTCTTGTAAAAGAAGTTTCAGTTTTCTTACCTGCATTTCATAGGACAGTCTGCCTTGAAACATTTTTGTTTGTTTTGGCTTTGGGAGCGAGGCTTTGGGATATACTCTCTTTCTTTACGAAAAATAGCCTTTTAGGGAGGAAAGGGAGTTTGAGGAAGGCAAGTTCTATAACATGTTTTCAAAGAATAATTTTAAATCTCTTGTTAACCGAATGGGATTTACCTCTTATCTTCCTTGTATATTTTGACCCTTATGGTAACAATACTACTACAAGTTGGGATTTTCAGGCAGCTTTCAAACTTCCTCCAACTTTTTTAGATTTAAATACATATTCAGTGCTTTTATGCAGCATAACTAGGTCAGAAGTTTCAGGAATAAAACTTTCTTCAAATCTTTCTAGGCGTTATGCAAAAGTGGATACCTACAAAGTACCATCAGTGCTTCAGGAGGTACAACCAAACTTCAAGAAAGGGAGGAAGGAAAACAGGGCTGAAATACAGGTTTCCAGCAAAAGAGGTGTAAGTTAGGACAGAAAACCAGTGCCAAAACTCTGTGCCAACTTCCTCAGCCGTAACAACTTCACAATTTTTACTTTAAAAAGCTTTTCAGAAGGCAGTTCTCAAAAATTTCACTTCAAACTTTTCAGTTACACTTCTCTGCTCACATCCGTCCTATCTCACAGGCCATTTATAGAGAGGACTGTTGCCCTGACGTACGCTCCATGAGAACTGAAAGCACAGGAACTGTCACAGAGAGTCAGGCTATTGATCTGTCTAGCTCTTACTAATGGTGATTAATCTTAACCTTTCTTGTCTTCATCTCCTGGAGCAGAATCTTATATCCAAAACCCATACTAGGAATTCATGGCAATTACTGTTTTTAAAACCTCAACTCTTTACCTTATAACAGTAGGGTTTTTTATTGGAAAACACTTTCATCTTTCAGTGTTAAAGTTTGTCACTGATTCTCATCATTAATTAAACTGTTTGGTGTTCACCAAGGTTTATGTTCTCACCACTAATCTTACTTGAAATTACAGCTTAAATAAAAAGTCCTTTGCACATTTTTCTCTGTTTGTAACAAGAACTGTTTGTCACCTGGCTCTGAAAATGAGCTCTCTGTAATGGGTACAGGCTATGGCACGGTAATGATTTTACTGTTACTTGATGACAAATTCCTTGCCAGGATTGGTGACAGTACTGCTGTCAAAGACAGAGTTCTGATCTCTGGTTTAATTAATCATTTGTTAACTTTATATCGTAATATCCTAAAAAACGTGATATGCAAAAGAAGTTTTAACGCAAGTGCCACGAACACATTTCAAGAACAGACGTATGATCATTTTTAATGACAAATAGCAGGGACAGTATTTTCCATAGCATTGAGATGTCACAATATTGACAGAGAAAGAACATTTGCCCTGTATAATGTGGGGTTTTATTGTTTTCAAAATAACATTCCAAATAATTTTTTAACAAAACCTGGAAAGTTCTTTTAGTAACTTATATAGCAACATTTATATGAGGTTCTTACTAAATTAGTCAGGAAAAATAAATAAAGCCTGCACTTTCTTCTTCTTCCTCTAGTGCATCAGAATTCTGGCAGCCTGTCATCTAGCAGAAACAAGCGTGGGGTGACGGTGGTATTGTGACTAATATACAGAAATATCAGACCTTAGCTACATATTTGCAGAGGGCCCATTTGTGACGCATTTGCCATAGTTTGTTACATTGCGTGACATGCTGTTTGACATGATGAAATTTTCAAAATACGGGCATTAGTCAAATGTCCAGAGTAGAAAAATCTCTTTAAAGCCATTCTATTCTCAGTGAAGAGAATAATCGACAAATTACGATCCTCCTAGAGTGTGTAACAAGCATTTCTGTTGCTGCCGTGGTATTTTCATATCACAGATAGCTGTATTTGAGGTAGTATAATGAAAACATCACTCATCACTGTAGCTCCTGTTAAGGTGTTAGCCTGCACTGCATTTTGGTATTAGTCTGGGAAAAAGAATGTGT